TGCAACGGGGTGAAGTCAGAGAGAGAGAGGAGGCTAATGTGTTAAGCAATTCTCCATTTTCCTTATCTAATAGTCTGACATGATTATCAAGTGATATATATTAGCATACCCAATTAGTATACAAAATAGAGGCAGTCAATCAAAACAAACTTATATGTATAAATATTCCAGAAAGGAGTGGTAACAATCAATAAAATGATTCAATAACCATACACAGAAGGGACTCAAAAATTTGTGCTCAATCAAAGCATAGATTAGCCATGTATTTCTATAATAATTATTTTATTATAAAAAAGAAGTTTAAAATTATTAAAATTGGATCAAGCATTAGTTAATTAAAGTTTGTTCAAGGAGTGGTTCCCTGGCCTCAGTATAATCCCCTGAATCACTGCACCCATAATATGGACGTCTTCTTTGATTATACTGTCTCTTCTTTTTAAAACCAGGAAAACATTCCTTGGCATTTTGATATAAGAGCAGCACCCAATTAACTTTATTTGTCACTAGTAAGATGTGATAAGCAATTATCAGCATGAATACTGCAATAATAGGATAATTTGCAATAGCAAAGAACATCACAAGTTGCTTTGGAGAACCATTACTCAAGTAAATATATTGTGAAACCAGAAACACAAAGTTAAGAGCAAGAAGTATCATTAGATTCAGCCAATTGAGTGTTTTGTATCTGAAAGGTGTTGATTTCGTATGAAGATAAATCAAAATGTGATAAATAAGAATGAGAGAAAGAAAAAGTACTCTACGTTGTTGATCAGAACTGAAAGTTTCAGACACATATGTAAGTAGAACAAAGAGTTGATGCAATACAAACCAATACCACTTGTTTCTTCTATAAGGAGCATAAATCGCTTCATAAAATGGACGAATACATTCCCTAAATCTGTCAAATTTTAACAGAAATTTCCCAAGCAATATTATGATAAAATAAGGTACCAAAATTAACCCAGCTACAATTGATGTCATTACCATTAACCATACATGACTCTTACTATCGTACATTATAGCTCCATTGTTATACCATATTGTGTTGGGCACATCAACACCTTCTGTGTAAATTTTTGCTGAACTGAAGACATCAAGAACCGACTGAAGAAGTTTTGTGAACGAAAGATGAACAATAGTGACAAGTACTTGAATTGATGAACGAGAGAAATGATTTGAAATTGTAACTGAGTAACGGCTCAGTATAATAAGGAGGCCAACAATAAGGATGAGGTAAACAGGAAATAGTAAGCTTAATCCAGCTTTCAATATCTCAGTCATTCCATTAAAAAAACAAAGTGGAAAACCAAGGTTTAAGTTTAGCCATGATATGAATACACTTGCAGGTCTAATAAGACACACTATGTCTTTGGTACATTCAATGCATGGTATATTTAAGTAATGGACAATGCCAATATTAGCAATTTGTGCATAGAATATAATACCATTGAGTGTACCAGTTGTCAGAGTTAGTTTGAGTGCATACAGAAGCAAAACAAGAAGAGGACCAGCTATTATATAAACAAAAATTGTGAATGGCCAAAAACTACTTGAGCAGTCCTTGCACTCAGTAGAACCAAACACTACACTGTAATTAGGAATACATTCACCGCATGCATCTCCAGTTCTAGAGCCATAACACAGTGGTAGAGATATTGTTGAGTTGGTTGAGCCAAGATATGAACCTGATGAGTTAAGATGTAGCACATTAAGTTGAGACCCAATGTTACAGTATGAAGGATGACAGTAAGCAATAGAGAATTTGTTGCTTTTGGTTGAATTGCCCATCCATACACCCAAATGACGAGGCTTAATAATGATGTTATTTTCAATGTTACATGTTATGTGTTGATTAAATTTTTTGATAAGATCTGAGCAAGCACAACTTCCCCTTGAACTCAATCGAAAACCAAGAGGACATCTTTTCAGCTTGACACTTACTTCATAAATTTCATTGTGTTTTGAAATGCAAAATAGATCTAGAAGCATTGTGAACTGAAGAGTTGTCTCCTTATTCAGTGTTGTAACGTCCGTTGTATGTATTGTTAAATTTATTGTTGTACATTTTTTTGTTCCTTTAACTAGTTTGACAATAAATGATCCTTGAGAGTCCAAAATCCACCTGTTCAGTTTTTTCCCTTTCTCAACAGGTATTACTGTTATAACTGCATAAGTCAAGCTACCATTTTGATCAACCACATTTATTGGTATGAGCATTGACCCCCCTGGGTAAATTTCAAGCACGGTCTTATTCATACAAAGTTGCATGGATTTAGGTTCAGAAGCTACATCACCTGGAAGAATATTCCTGAACATTGCATTGTACATTTTGACAATCATAGTATGCTTGGGAAATGAAAATTTCTTAAAGTAACATTCATAAAGGTTTTGTGAATATATAGAGTTCCCAGCTATTGCAGCTGTATTATTATTGAAAGTTAAACTGATATTTTCGTAGTCATGAAGGAAATACAACTGAAATGTGCACATTCGTACCTTATTTTCATTCACTGAATAGATGGCTCCTCCAAGAGACTGAACTGTGTTATGACTAAAATTAGCTCTTAGTCCTTTCTTGAAGTAAATTAAACTCCCTTGTTCGAGTGAAAATGCTGCACCATGATTAGCAATATTTTCAATAAAAAACAGGTTTCCTTCAAGTACTGCATATGATCTAAATAATTCAAATACAGCACCATAGTTGTGTGAAAAGTTTCCAGGTGCACTTACAGTTCCTGTAATGGAAACATTAGCAATATTAACAAAATGAAACAAACTAGCATTGAAAATATTATTTCGGTCTCTCACAGTTGGATTGTTGTAAGCAACTACTTTATCAAAAAAAATAGTCAAATAGTTACTAGGTTTACTTCCCTCAGGGGAATTCTTTGCAATAGCATACAAGCATGTTCCAAATTTTGAAGAAGCGTTAAGTTCAAAATGAAGTTTGGAAAATAAAATAACAACTACACTTTTTGGTTCAGAACCATTAACATCTTTATATACTGCCATGTCTATTGCTCTTGAAGTCCATGCAGTACCATCACCAAATCCATTGCTTTTAAATTTTGAATTGGTAATTACTAATGGCTTGTATCTTGTTGTTAAAATTCTTTTGTCAAAAAAGAATATTGCAGATATTGCACCTCCTTTACATGCATCTAGTACAAAATTGTGTTCAAAATAAGAGCCATCAATTATTGTCTTTGAATCAATAGATGAACTAAAACTGAGAATCAACATTGCTCCAGCATAATACTCATTGTTGAAAGTGAAACTGCTATTTAGAATTCTGACAATAGCAGGAGATGTATCGTTTTGAGTGAATAGCATTGTAACTGCTGCAGCATTGACAACAGGCATATTTAACAGTATATGATGCTCTGCTGATGGACAAATATAGTGGACATGACTGTGGGTCCTAGATCTAATAGCATTTTCATGGAAAGTGGAATTAGAAATGTTTACTTCGTATTGAGTTTGAGCATCTATGGTTTCTCTTGCAATACGGTTTAAAAAAAGGAGTAATAGTCCTCTACCAATACCAAATTCGGTTTGTTGTGAGTAACTGACCACAAGATAATCAAACACAGCATAAGGAAGATTAACTGCTACTATAGCAAAACCACTGTAGTTACTTATAGTGACATTGCTAAAAGTAATACTAGCAATATCAGTCAATACTAGTACAGCAGCATGAAGCTCAGTAAAATGAATAGAAGAAGTTGTAGAATTAATGATATCACTATCTAATGTAGTGAGATTAGTACCACAGTTAGTGAAACGGAGTCCTCTCATTGTTAGTGATCCATTGGTGCCATAGAATGCAAATCCTCTTGTCCAGTACTTGTCACTAGATGTACAATTAATGACAGCAACTGAATCATTGGAGTCACTTGTAATAGTGAGAGAATAGTGATTCATATTAACTGGACAGAAAACACCATTAGACGTGATCTGGTGAGTAATGCTGGTGTCAAGGTAAAGAGAAAGATCACCAGTTAATATTTTAGTTTCGTTACACAAAATTCCTTCCAGTTGATGGCTAGTGTTAACAAAGACAGCAGCAGGAACCAAAGGCAAAGCAAAAAAGAAGAGCATAAATAGATACATGCTTGTAGGTAGCATTTCAAAAAGATTGAACCAACTTGAAGAAGTGAGAGCCACTGCTTATATACAGTAACGAAAAACTGAAAGTAAAACTAACTGGCAAGACAATAGTTTTGAAAAACCATTTCACTGTTTACAAATCAGTGGGTTCGAATTTACTATCTAGCACATGCAATTGTGAATAGAGTGTTTTAATATCACCAATTAAGGAAAACAATGTTAGCTGTGAAGAACAAATCTTTATTGTTCAGCATTTAATATTAACTCTGTAATACATGTACAATACACATGTACTTTTCTCTAAAAATCATTAATATTGACAGTTGGTTATGAATGTGCTCCCTGTGACTGAAACCGCTGTACAAAGTAATGAGTATACATGGAAAAAGAAGCAATTCATCACTCCTTATTAATAAAAGACTGATGACATGTAACCTAATCATCTTCATCCTCGTCTTCCTTCATGTCTTCTTGTCTCTTCCAGACCTTCACTGGTCCCTCAGATCCAGCTGACAGTAAACATGCTGCATTAGGATGATAGGAGAGGGAATATACAATACAAGATGATGATTGGCTCTGCTTTAATGTCTGCACTACATTTCCCTATAATAAAAAGATATAGTAAGAGTTTACACTGCTAATAACAAAAGTGTATCAACAAAAAAGGGTGCCTATTTCAAAAATTCAATTATTTCAGGATAAATTGAATTGTAAGAGTCAACCAAAATTTTAAAAAGTGTCTAAAATGTGCCAACAAAACATTAAACCAGCCTTTTTCAAAATTTTTACTGATAAGCCTTAGATTCCCAAATCACAAACTCTATACAGATACTTTTATTTCAAATGGTCAACAAAAGAAAGCATTTATTCACAATTACTCACTTCTACTAAATCCCAAAAGTAAATCTTTCCATCTTCCGATCCACTCACAATATGTGAATCATCGTGAGTGAGAGAACTGTCTATCTTATACTCTGTATTGGAATGACTTTTGAACCTTTGATAGCAAAAATAGGAAGAAAGAGAAAACAAATAATGTGAAATGTATTATTGACAATGTGAAGGAAATGGGAAAACAAAGAGTGAAGTGAGAGAGAGAGGGAGGGAGGGAGAGAGAGAGAGAGTGTGTGTGTGTGTGTGAGAGAGAGAGGAGGCTAACGTGTTCAGTAATTCCCCATTTTCCTTATCTAATAGTCTGATATGATTATCAAGTGATGATACTAGTACACATAATCCATCCCTTGAAAGACTAACACTAGTAACAGGTTCTAAAAAATAATAACAATAATAATAATACCATATAGCAGGTTTTTTTCGAGGATAATAAATTTCGCGAATGACCCATATTCGGAAGTTTGCGGAATTAATTTTTGCAAATTTCCACTAATCTGCCATCTTGTACCGTATTAAATTAATTTTCAAGGAATTTAATTTCGCGAATCATTAAAAAACCGCAAAAATTGCTATCCTCAAAAATTTCCTACTATACGGTAGTTAATTAACTATAAGTAATAAGTTAACGTACGTCCTACTGTGTCTGAAAAAAGTTTGCCAAAACGAATGTCATAGCGACGAGCTTTTCCATCAACTGATCTGTTGAAAAAACAAATACATGTATTATTATTAAAAATATATATTCATGTATTTAGCCTATTTAAAATGTGTCACACTATATATAAATTTTTCGTCATAATCATATAAAGGTTACCCAGTCAAAATTTCATGGTTGGATACAAAGAGTGATGTAATGCTGTCTTTTGCTTCCTCCATCACTTGTACTGGGTCGTATGTACGTGACTTGCAATCCCAAACCCTAACAGTGGAATCATAAGAACCTAATGAACAGATACAATTAATAAAAAATTTCAATGCAATACATGTACATGTAGGTTATACTCTACCTGTTATGATGACGGATGATTCTTCGTTAAATTTTACGCAATTAATAGCCTAAAGTAAAGTATATAGTAATTGGATGAAGCTAGTACATGCACATGTACAATAATGACTAGAACTGATCGTACATGGTATCAAATACATATATGTACATGTATTTTATTGCAATTGGGACTTACTCCATAGTGTCCTCGGTATTTCCTGATTGGTTGGCCGGTACTGACGTCTAGCAAGTACACGACTTTGTCCCTCCCTCCACAAACAATTCGACCGTTGTCATGGGCACTAATTAGAAATAAAAAATTATTATCAATCAACATGTGTGTAATTAAATTTCATACGCTGTTGCGTCTAATACTTCTTGCCCCGGCCCCTTGTAGGTTTTGATTCCCAGACCCCGGTGGGGGTTCCAGAGCCTAACTGTTTTATCAGCACTGCATGTTAAGCAATATTCTCCACTTTCTAAAGAAAATAAGGAAATAAAGAAACACATTTTTAGATTCTTAACATCATTTACTAGTAAATCTAATGGCTCTAATGGCGTCTTGGTGCCCGTGAAACTCGTGAGCTAGCTGGTTTGGGAGAGCCGCCATTTTGCTTGCTTTGGCGGGGGAGGGCGGACACCTCGTCTACGCATGCGCAAAAGTTGAAACCTAGCCCCGCCCATTTACCATCTCATGCTCAGCATTTTGGAGGAAGAGGCCCCAAAAAGCATTAGAACCGGATTCTCACTGAACTAGGAGTAATAATAAAGAGTAGAAGATGATCATCACGGTCAAGACCTTACAACAGAAGACTTTTAAGATAGAGATAGAGGAATCAGCCTCGGTAATGGAAGATTTTGTGTACATGTATACTTATACATGTAATTATGTTACTTTAAATGTCCTTAAATAAGAAGGTTATTGTAAAGCTACATGTAAGCGTATGAAAAGTTTACAATAAAAGGCAAATACTGGTTTTTAGTTGAAGATAAAACAAGTAATTGCTAAATGTACCGAATCACTTTTATTAATAGTCGACCCATTAGTCCTAATGGAATTGATTCTACCGCTTAATTTTTTAGGTTTTAGATTTGAAAAAGGCGATAGAGGCGAACCAAGGAGAAGCATTCCCAGCTGCAGGCCAGAAATTAATATATTCAGGTAATTGATTTAATATGTAGTATCATTAACATTCTAATAATAACAATAATAATGATTCTATTCCGTTCAAAATGTTGCTAATGTAAAAATGATAATGACACTATTTCAGCAATGCAGTACTTTATTTATATTGGTTGTGTGTACTTTTTTTTGAAATCATGAAATTCAAACATAGTTATTTTTTGCTGAGATGAAGGTTGCCTCCATAGCTCAGCGGTTAGAGCACTGGTCTTGTAAACCAGGGGTCGAGAGTTCAAATCTCTCTGGGGGCTGTGTATTTTCTTTTTTTTTTCTTTCAAAATTGCTCATGTAATTTTTTCTTTTTTTTTCAGGTAAAATTTTAAATGATTCCCAGCCACTATCAGACTACAGTATCCAGGAGTCGAATTTTGTCGTCGTCATGGTGAGCAAGATAAAGCCAGCTCCTGCTCCGACGCCAAAACCACAAGAAGTAATTTAATTTATTTATTTAGTGACCAAACTTATTCTACCTCTTTTTTATAGACTTCCAGCACCTCTAGCAGTAGTACCCCGTCCACAAGTGGCGCTACGCCCCAACCATCGTCCAGTGCAACAGCTCCAACTACCACTAGTGCCCCAAGGTCTGTCTATATTTTATATATTTGAGAAAGATTTGTGTAGCACCTTTAGCAGCTGTTATTTTTAAAATTATTTGCAGTTATTTCCCAAGAGATTATACCTATTAATTATACTATTAAACATAATTACATGATATGCCACAGATAATCTTATAATATACATGTAATGTACTTTATATTGCATTATAATGTGATGTAAAGTTAAAGTTATGTCCTCTTTGCCCTTAGTAGCAACTTTAACTATATATGTACAAATACATGTACATGTATATGTGTGTGAGAGAGAGAGGAAATAGATTAACCTTATTTTATTTGTTTTAAATGACAAAAGGAAATTTTTGTTATTTTAGTTCCACAATGATTTTTCATTATAACTTTTCCAATGGCCTAGCTTATAAGAATCAGCATTTTAAACATAATAATATTAATAATAATAATAATAATAATAATAATAATAATAATAATAATAATAATAATAATAGTAATAATAATAATAATAATAATAATAATAATAATAATAATAATAATAGTAATAATAATAATAATAATAGTAATAATAATAATAATAATAATAATATTAATAATAATAATAATAATAATAATAATAATAGTAATAATAATAATAATAATAATAATAATAATAATAATAATAATAATAATAATAATAATAATAATAATAATAATAACAATGTTTTGTTTTTGGTTTTTCTTTTCCTGTTTTTTTGTTTTGTCCCTGATTTTCTTTTCTTTATGGGCTTTCCCTTCTCTGTCTCTTTTTTGTCTTCTGCATTGTGTCTGATTTTGTTGTCATAACAATAATAATAATAATAATAATAGCTGTCTTAGATGGCCAGATCTAACTTTTTCTTTTCCTTAGTTAATTTTTCTTTCTTATTTGTTTGTGTTTCCTTTTTGTTACTTTTGGGGTTTTTTGTTGTCTCCTCCCAGTTCTTCCTCTTTCCCCTATATTTTCTAATTCTGGTCGTTGTGTTTGTGTGTTTGTACATGTACATTATTCTTATAATAATAATAATACCACATTGACGGTTCCCTTTAAGGGATTCTTTGTTTTAGTTGTTTCCTTTTGTTGTTGTTGTTATTGTTGGTGTTTTTTTTGTTTTTGTTTTTTGTTTGCTTCTTGTATCTTTCTGTCACCATTTTAATAATAATAATAATAATAATAATAATCACTTTATTAATTTCTTTGTCTAGTGGTACGACTGGTACTGAGTCCACTGACGGTGGAGCTGGTGGGGGACAGACAAGCTCAACGGCTTCCTCATCCTCAGAATTTGACCAAGCCTTGTCGACACTAGGTATGTCACCTGACACCATCGCATGTAACACACACACACAATAAATCCTCATTATGTGCATTATATTGATCCACTGTAGTTTTGGTAAATTTACTTTTAAAAATTAATGTGCAAAAAAATTCAATAGGGTTGACCATTTAATTTTGATTGATTTGCATAAAATATTAAACATCCCAAATAATAACCAAGTCTCCAATACTTTATAACCATACTTGTGATGTACAATTATACACATAGTACATGTACATATTAATACATGATTATTATTATTGTTGTTTTTCTTATTATTTCAGTTACTGGTACTGATTACGAGAGGACCGTTAATGATATGGTTGGAATGGGATTCATGAGAAACGATGTTGTCCGTGCCCTCCAGGCTAGCTACAACAATCCAACAAGAGCTATGGAGTATCTATGTGGGGTGGGTAGTACATGGACATGTGCATGTACATCAGTCACTACTGTAGAACACATGTGGATTATATCCACCAGATCCCCGTTAACTAGATTAATGATATTCATAGAGATACCGTAAAAACAACAGAATTTCTTGGCCGCAAATTTTGGGGGCATAAACTTGGAATCTTTTTTTTCTGGATGTAGCTCCTTTGCTCTGCTGGCAAAACGGTAAAATAACACCTTTTCTCCATTAAAGACTGTACAAAGTATACCCCCAACATGGCGGCTAGAATAATTTTTTCATTTACGGTATCCAAATGAATATCATTAAAAAGTCTATGAATATCATGCATCTCATTCACACAGATCTGGTGGATACTTGTTTTAAGTACATGTAAATAGTCACTGTATTTTATTTATTTTATTTTTTGTTTGTTTTGTCACCAGGGTTTCAGTAATAGCTTCATGAGCTAGCAAGCAGTGCAATATAATGCATATAGTGCATGTACATGTAATACATGGCTTTTTAGCAATTTTAAAAATTCGTAAAAAATCTAATTTTGATCGGGATTAGCTCAAACTTGAGGAATAACATAAAAACATGTATATTTATTAGGAAAATATATAAAAATGGAAAATTCTCTCCTATTCATTTTGGCGAAATTTGGCCGAAGACCCTGTACTATAGTACAGGGACTTTGGCTCAATTTTTGAGCAACTTTAAAAATTCGTAAAAAATCTAATTTTGATTGGAATTAGCTCAAACTTGAGAAGTAACATAAGAACATGTATATGTATCAGGAAAAAATATAAAAATGGAAAATTCTCTCCTAGTCATTTTTGGCGAAATTTGGCCAAAGACCCTGTACTATAGTACAGGGACTTTGGCTTGATTTTGGAGCGACTTCAAAAATTCATAAAATGTCTAATTTTGATTGGAATCAGCTCAAATTTGAGAAGTAACATAAGAACATGTATATCTATCAGGAAAAAAATAAAAACGGAAAATTCTCTCCTATTAATTTTTGGCAAAATTTGGCTGAAGACCCTGTACTATAGTACAGGGACTTTGGCTCGATTTTGGAGCAACTTCAAAAATTCATAAAAAATCCAATTTTGTTCGGAATCAGCTCAAACTTGAGGAGTAACATAAGAACATGTATATGTATCAGGAAAAAATATAAAATGGAGAATTCTCTTCTATTAATTTTTGGCAAAATTTGACCAAAGACCCTGTACATGGACTTTGGTCTGATTTTCAAGCAACTTTAAAAATTTAGGTGAAGAAACAGAAAAGATTTTAATGTAATGTCTCCTTGCCTTAATCCATTAAATTTGAATTAAAATTAAGTTTCCGTTAAAGTTAAATTTCATTTCTCTTTCTCTAGGAACGTCCCATGCCCACACTTGAGGAAGAGGCGGAGCCTCAACCCCGGGGTAGCGGAGCCGGGGGACAACAAGTCCCTCTCACGTCCTCTCCCCCTCAAGCTCCTCCCACTCAGAGACCAGCCGGTCAATCCCAACAGTCAACGCCTCCTTCAGCTGCTCCTCGTCCTCCTCAGGGAGGCCTATCAGCTGGAGGTGGTCAGAGCGCATCAAGTACATGATAATTATAATAATTATTAACTATCATTTTGTGCAAAATTTTTTTGAGGGCTGTAAATTTTGTATGAGAATTTGCCTTAAAGTCTATCTTGTGGATTTAATTTTTGCGAATTTATGCCATCTTCTACCATAATAAATTGATTTTTGCGAAAGTAATCTTAAAATAATTGTGAAATCCACAAAATTTACAGCCCTCGAAAATTTTGCCCTATACAGTATTTAACTTAAATAATAAATATGAAATATTAAGGGGCGAGCCTAATGAAGTGAAGCACTTTACTTTAAAATACATGTAGTTATACCAAGAGTAGACTTGGTTATACCAATTATAGACAAATAGACAAATGCTTACTGGTGTGGGGCTGGCCTCAATCATTGCTACTGTATTGCTGGGGATTTTGGACGGTACAAATTTTGCTAAATTTTGTTGCGCGATCGATTGTATTTTTGATTTTTTTTTCTTTCATTACGCTAGACGTGTTGCAGGGATTAAGTCAATTGCCACAGTTTCAAGCCCTGAGGGCTGCAGTCCAGCAGAACCCAGGACTACTACCTAGTCTCCTTCAAGAAATAGGACAGCACAATCCTGAGCTACTCCAGGTAAGAGAAGTGTACTATACTATAGTACAGGGTGTTTTGTCAAAAATGGCTAGTGGAGAATTTACTATTTTAATAATTTTTTTGAAGCGTATACATGTTCTTATGTTGCATAGAAAGTTTGAGCTTATTACAATCAAAATTGGATTTTTCATGAATTTTTAAACTTGCTAAAAAATTTGGGTGATATTTTTATAATGAAATTATACATACGTGTAACTTTTAAGCATACGTATAATTGACTTTTTATGTGTTGTATAGTTGATAAACCAGAATCAGCAAGAGTTTGTTGATCTGTTGAATCAGCCGCCACAACCAATAGGTTCTGGTCAGGAGCTGCCCCCAGGGACTGTCTCAATACAAGTAACACAAGAAGAAAGAGAAGCCATTGATAGGGTAAGAGGAGAAGGGGGAGGTTTGTAAAGGGGATGCATGTGGTTAAAAAGACAGTGATTTTTACATGTAAAGGCACATGTGTGTGGTGAAAAAGATGGTTATTTTTTTACATGTATATTTTAATGATTTTTGCAATTCGCAGCCATTTGTTGTTGAGCTGTATTAGACATTTTGGCATAGAATCACAAATCCAATATTACATTTGCACACAGACACTGTCCATGTATAATTGTATATTCACTGTTGGGGAGTTTAGGAGACAATTTTGATCTTCTAGAAATCTAGATCTGACACTACACAGTGTTTGGTCATAAATACAGACATACATTTACTTATAGTTGTCTTTCTCCTCTCTCCCTCTTCTAGTTAAAAGCTTTAGGTTTTCCAGAGGGAGAGGTCATACAGGCTTATTTGGCATGTGATAAAAATGAGACGTTAGCTGCTAATCTGTTGCTTAGTTCAGCAGATGATCCTGAACCCGGCCACGATCCAGGAAGTGGGCAAGGCCATGATACTGACTCCGCCCAGTAATTAATTCTCTAGTTATTAATTGTTGTTAATCGGTCATTGCGTCTTTTTTGTCTGTCTCTGTGTGTCTACTTGTATTATGTTAGCACTGATAATACATAAACATAAATAAATAAATTATTATTATTATTATTATTATAGTAATTGCTAAAGTTCCTATTGTTGACCCTTTATTATCTTAACTTCATTTGTACTACTTGAGTTGAGTGAAGTACCACGCAATCTTAATTGTTGCTGCTGCGCACAATACTGGTAATCAAGTTATTTTTGATGTTTTATTAGCAAAATGAACCAAAAAATAACAAAAACAATTAACTTCAAAAAAATTTTATTAAGCATAGCAACAAAGATTTTGTGAAAAAATTAGCATATGTACTACAATAACTTTTAATAATTCTATAGCAAAGCAAAAGGCTGAAAAGCTGTTAGAAATGGACTTAAAGTTATTTTTCATTGCAGTAAATCTTTATGGAGTCTCCACTCAGATCCACTACCCAAACTTTACCATCTGGACCAATAGCAATGTCATAAGGTGCAGATACTCCAGTAAATTTTTCAACCACTTTCCCGGTAGCTATTTCAACTTTCAAAACCTTTCCTGAGCGATCAGCAACATTGAGAAAATCCTCGTCAAGAGGATTGAGATGAATTCCCTCCATAAAGGAAACAGTTGGTAGAGAGATTGTTCGTATCAGGCTACCCTTTCTGTCGTAAACAGAAACTCCCCTTTTGTAATGCTTACCGACATAGAGATTGCCTTGCTTGTCAAACTGAACCTTTCTTGCATAGCATGAGCTTCCAACTCTCAGAGTATGGGATTTGGTGCCATCAACATTGAATACATTGATCTTACAAGTGAACCATTCGTTGATGTACATCAGCCCATTGTAATCTATTGCCACTGAAACTGAATGTGTATTAGGAGAATAGTGTACGGCATACAGCTCTCCACTGAGTGTGAAACTGTATGTCTTTTCATTGTGATCGGTGACAAGTAGTCTGTTTCCTTTTACAAAAAGACCGTGGGGTTGTCCAGAAGGAAGGGAAAAGTTCCTTAGCTCTGCTCCTGTGTGTACATCAAGGACTTTAATTGTAGAATTACCACTATCTGTCAGGAATACTTCATTCCCAACAATTTGGATACTAGTTGGTCTTTTGAATCCAGTGATGGTTTTGGATGGTGTTCTCACTATAACATGATCTGTTTTGGTTGCAGCGCTTGCTGCTTGTATGAAGCAGACAAGGAGAAATATACTTAGCAATTGAAGGAACTTCATTTCTGTAGACTCAAAATGGTTACTTTGTAGAGATGGGAAACAGATTGCTTCTTTTATAGTTTTTAACTTAAATCGCTAAACTGTATAGGCTAAACTTAAAGGAAGCCTCAAGTTGATTTATACTCTACACTGATAAGTGATAGCTATTCAAACCTATCAACATCTATTGAAATAGTAGCAAAAGGTTGCACTTTATGTAAATTACAGGTGCTAAGGGAAGCAATTTAGTAATTTTGATATGATCTATGCAATTGTACTACTTGAGTGAAGTACCTCGCAATCTGAAATCTTGCAGCTGCGCACAATACTGGTAATAAAGTTATTCATTTTATTAGCTAATAGACAAAAAGTAGTAAGAACAAGGAATTCTATTTAGCAAGAAAACAAAAAAAATTAGCAGGAAAATTAGCAAAAACACTACAAAAATAGCAAAGGAAGAGTTATTGGGAGTTATATCAGTAAATTTTGATGGAGTTTCCGTAAATATCCACCACCCAAACTTTACCATTTGGACCAACAGCAATATCATTAGCTCCTGATAGTCCAGTAAATTTTTCAACCACTTTCCCAGTAGCTATTTTAACTTTCAAGACCTTTCCAGAGCGATGATCATCAGAGCGATCAGCAACGTAGAGAAAATCCTCATCAAGAGGATTGAGATGAATTCCGTCCATAAAAGAAACAGTTGGTAGAGAGATTTTTCTTATAAGGCTACCACTTCTATCAAAGACAAAAACTGCCTTGCTGTGGTGTTCACCAACGTAGAGATTCCCTTGTTTATCGAACTGGATCTTTCTTGGGTAGCATGAGTTTCCAACACTAAAAGTGTGGAATTTGGTGCCATCGATATTGTATACGTTGATCTTACAAGTGGTCCATTCATTGATGTACATCAACCCATTGTAATCTAATGCCACTGAAACTGTCTTAGGAGAATAGTGTACACCATATAGCTCTCCACTGAGTGTGAAACTGTATGTCTCTTGACGAGTATTGGTGACAAGTACTCTGTTTCCTCTCACAAAGAGACCGTGTGGATGTCCAGAAGGAATGGAGAAGCTCCTTAGCCTTGCTCCCGTGTGTACATCCAGGACTTGAACTTTACCTTTATTCTCTGTCAGGAATACTTCATTCCCAACGATTTGAATATAAATTGGTGTTTTGAATCCAGAGATGGTTCGAGATGGTGTTCTCACTTTAGTCTCATTGTAAGGGTCTTCCATTGTGTCCACACTAGCAGGAGACACACTTGCTGCTTGTATGAAGCAGACAAGGAGAGATAAACTTAGCAATTGAAAGAAATTCATTTCAATGGACTTTGAACAATGAATTTTGCACAGATGAATGACTGACTGAATGATTATGCTTAGGCTTGGTTGCTTCTTTTATAGTCTTCAACTTAATTTGTCTGCATAGCTGCAGGCTATAAGGAAGTCGGAAGATGAAAATTGCAAAGTACATGTGAAATTATTGATGTCACTAAGTCCTGTAGGAGTGACCATTCATGTGTTCATACAGCGCTACATAAAAGCCTTGAAGGAAGAAATTTATTAATTTTGTTATGATCTTATGTAATATAATGAAAAAGACAAATAATCCTTCCATGCAGGATGTGACATCATCTACTATGTTCCACACATAGATCACTGTGATCATAGATGCCACACGTCGTTAATTGGGTTAGTTTCCAAGTAAAATGACAAAATGCATGAGAAGCATTCATAACCTTGGAACCTGAATGAGATAATAATGAGTTCAAAGACTAATTGATTATTACTACAGGTAGTTGGATTTTGAAAATTAACAATAGAATCAGCTCAAAGGGTAATGCCTTTTATACCAGCTATATAATGTAATTTTATATTCTCTCTCTCTTTTAAAACCAAGCACTCAGACCATTAGTAATGACATCCTTTGTTGATCCTCTCTCACACACTTTATTATTTATATGGTACATATCAGCATGCAGTGTAAAAGTGTCCTATGCTAACTGTATTAGCTGTTCATCTATTGTCCAGGACAAATTTTACCAGAACAGATTATTCTGTGACAGACTGGCAGTTCATTAACTAAAACAACACTCTGGACTGGGAGAAGATTCATCCCACTCTCTTTGAAAAATCAATGATGGTTTCATTTCTATTTGCTGCTACAATATTGTGTCAATTTCTTGCTTTATACTGCTGGTATATGAATAAGAAGATAAATTGTATTAATCTTATATTATACAGGTACCTTTACTATTGTTCCTGTCACACAGTATGATAATGTCACATTTGAATGTGCTATACTAATATGTCTAATTTGATATTCATGCAAGGTATCATGATCATCATCCATTAATCTATATATCTTTATTGAGTATATAATGCATGTATATTTACAGGGCCATGACTTGTGTCTTGGAGTGTCACTTGCTAATAATACAGCAACAAGTTGTGCTGTCGATAATTCTAGCAATTGCTATTTTTGTCAACAGTAGTGTCACTTATTAATAGTTTATAGTTTATAGCTGATCCAGCTTGTATTCATGATTGTTCAGGGAAATGCAATTAACTGAATTGGATCATGCAGTGTAAAAACTATCACGACATTTGAAGCTGTTTGTAGTTGTGTGGCTATGAACTTTTGGCCACTCTGATATTACAATGCTGATAATTGAGTCATTTTGATGTAATAATTAGCAAATAGACAAGAGTAATGAAAAACAAGTAACTTTAAAAAATTTTATTTAGCAAAGAAACAAAAAAATTATGCAGGAAATTAGCAAAAACACTACAAAAAAATCAAAAAAATTCTACAAAAAAGGAAGATTTAGTGAAAGTTATATTTTTTGTTTCAGTAAATCTTAAAGAAAAAATTAGTCAAAAAATTACCAAATGCATTACAATAGCAGCAAAAAGTTTTATAGCAAAGACAAAGGTGGAAAAGTTATTAGAAATGAACTTAGAATTGTTTTTCAATGTATTTATAGTAAATCTTTATGGAGTTTCCATAAATATCCACCACCCAAACTTCACCATTCGGACCAATAGCAATATCATTAGCTCCTGATAGTTCAGTAAATTTTTCAACCACTTTCCCAGTAGCTATTTCAACTTTTAAGACCTTTCCAGAGTGATGATCATCAGAGCGATCAGCAACGTAGAGAAAATCCTCATCAAGAGGATTGAGATGAATTCCGTCCATAAAAGAAACAGTTGGTAGAGAGATATTTCTTATGAGGCTACCACTTCTATCAAAGACAAAAACTGCCTTGCTGTGGTGTTCGCCAACGTAGAGATTGCCTTGTTTATCAAACTGGATCTTTCTTGGGTAGCATGAGTTTCCGACACTAAAAGTGTGGAATTTGGTGCCATCGATATTGTATACGTTGATCTTACAAGTGTTCCATTCGTTGACGTACATCAACCCATTGTAATCTATTGCCACTGAAATTGTCTTACTAGGAGAATAGTGTACGCCATACAGCTCTCCACTGAGTGTGAAACTGTATGTCTCTTGACGAGTATTGGTGACAAGTACTCTGTTTCCTCTTACGAAGAGACCGTGTGGACGTCCAGAAGGAATGGAGAAGCTCCTTAGCCTTTCTCCCGTGTGTACATCTAGGACTTGAACTTTACCTTTATTCTCTGTCAGGAATACTTCATTCCCAACAATTTGAATATAAATTGGTGTTTTGAATCCAGGGATGGTTCGGGATGGTGTTCTCACGGTAATGTTATCTGTTTCAACTTCATCAGTCCTTCTGCAAGGATTTATTAAATTTGGACAACCATGAGGCACACTTGCTGCTTGTATGAAGCAGACAAGGAGAGATAAACTTAGCAATTGAAGGAACTTCATTTTCTGTAGACTCTGAATGATAAGTTTGCAGGGATGAGTGACTGAATGATTATGCTTATGCTTGGTTGCTTCTTTTAT